GCTCGGGACCCAGACGTTGATACAGTACTAACATTTTTGAGTTCTGCTTGCAGGCTCGGGACCCAGACGTTGACACAGTACTAACATTTTTGAGTTCTGCTTGCAGGCTCGGGACCCAGACGTTGATACGGTATAACATTTTTGAGTTCTGCTTGCAGGCTCGGGACCCAGACGTTGATACAGTACTAACATTTTTGAGTTCTACTTGCAGGCTCGGGACCCAGACGTTGATACAGTTCTAACATACTTGATCGTAGCTGGAAATGAGGAAGAAAAGTTTACAATTGATCCACAAAGGTAAAAACAACAATCCTTTCAATATTCAATAAAAAGTGTTAGGTTTAATCGCTACTTTACACGTGCCTGAAATGCTGACGTAACTGCAAACGACGCTTATGGAATATTCTGGCAAAATAGAGCCGCTCTTTCTGCTTAACTAAAGCCATAAATCAAACTTTTTTTTTAAAGAGTTAATACAAAATAATGGTACGACACAGTCAACGAAGACGGCACATACGTTTCAGTTATATTTGAAGTAATTGATCCTAATATATATCCGTCTGTTCCGTGATAACACGAGAAGAAATATTTAGTTTTGTAAAAGAATTAATGATAAACCATAGGGGTTGAAAGAGAGAGAAGACTAACGCCCCACCTCCCCCCAGTTCTCCAATATCCACTCGCCATTATCTCTCCTTAACGCGATATGTTTATGATTTCCACATCTCGAATTGAGTTTTGCTGTAAAAAAAAATGATAATCTACAAAACAAAACGGATTTTAATAGAATATTAAGAGGTTAGAGTTAATTAAAAACAGAAGGTCACGTAAGTTGGTTTTAAACTGTCTTATATTCACACGTTTTTACTTGATTTCTATCACTTTTTTTACCCTCACTCCACCAAATTACTTCTCTAATTGTCAAATGTGTTAACGTTAATCCCCTCGATTTTGTTCTGACGCCAGTGCAAACGATATATTTTTATTTCACAGTCTTTTGTTTTGCGAAACTAATTATGGCTTTGGGATTTTCTAGAGGGCGTGTTACAACTGCCGGTGTATTGGATTACGAAGAAAGACAGTCGTATAGCTTACTGGTTCAGGTGTCCGATGGTCTAAATGTAAGTGATACAGGAGATCTCATGTATTCAATGTTTCGCCTTAAGAATTGTAATTCCTGCATTGGACTCCAAGAAGTAATGCGATTTAGAAATTAAACTTTAATTTGGTGGCCCATAACAACAAAAAAATCGAAATATTAGACGTAAGATAAAACAACGTTGAGAAGTTATGTTTTATGAATATTGTGGTTAGGCCTACATGAACTTGGTATAATACCGGAAATTATCTAACGTTTGGTTATTTCTAAACGCCTCGTTTTCATTTCATTAAAGTTTTTGTCTTCTTCTAAGTTAGAACGGTTAGACTTTCAGCAGATTGTGTTGTGTAAACTATGAAGTACAACTATTTAGGTCCGAATCCTGATGACAGGATTTAAATTCCTGATAATATGTGGGCAACTAGATCCAAGTTGTGCTCAACGTATCATCAGGAATCGTAACAACCCTGTCATCAAGATGTCAACAGAACTTGGATCTAGTTAACAACGTATCATCGTGAATCGTATCAACCCTATCATCAAGATGTCAGCACAACTTGGATCTAGTTAACAACGTATCATCGGGAATCGTATCAACCCTATCATCAAGATGTCTTAACTAGATCCAAGTTCTGTTGACATCTTGATGACAGGTTTAACGTTAATTTTGATGTGAGGTTAACTTGACCCAACTTCTGTTGACAGGGTTGTTACGATTCCTGATAATATGTGGTTAACTAGATCTAAGTTCTGTTGACATCTTGATAACAGGTTTAAAGTTAATTTTGATATGTGGTTGACTTGATCCAACTTCTGTTGACATCTTGATGACAGGTTTAACGTTAATTGTGATGTGTGGTTAACTTGATCCAACTTCTGTTGACAGGGTTGTTACGATTCCTGATGATACGTTGTTAACTAGATCCAAGTTCTGTTGACATCTTGATGACAGGGTTGTTACGATTCCTGATAATATGTGGTTAACTAGATCTAAGTTCTGTTGACATCTTGATAACAGGTTTAAAGTTAATTTTGATATGTGGTTGATTTGATCCAACTTCTGTTAACATTTGATGACTGGTTTGAAGTTCCAGATGGCGTTTGGTTAACTAATAACAAACTCTGATGACATCTTGGCACTGATAGCATCTTAATCAGCAAGGTTGACATGTTGATGCCAGGTCAAAGGTCATAAATGTAGGGTTGACATGCAGATTGAGGAATTTTTAGCTAAGTTAAGTGGTAAGAATAGTTTTAACGAATTTATTTTGTACGTGATTGGTAATAGAGCTTTAACGTTTACATTCATCCTTAATTCTAAGAAGTGAAAAAAAAAATATCATAAGATACATTTCTTTCTCCACCAGATGGCTGTATCTCCGCTGACTGTGAAGGTGGTGGATATCAATGACATGCAGCCTGTTTTTACACATAATTATTATAACTTGTCAGTATTTGAAGAACTACAAGAAAATGTTTCTGTAGGGACCGTCCTGGTGAGTACTTGTCGAGAGGCTGAGAGCCACCTTAGAGTGAAAATAAAACTCAATGACGGCTCCAGATGGGGTTCGTTCACCCCACCCCAAAGAGTGAAATGTCGTCAAAACTTAAAAATTTGTTCGTTTGTTTGAATGGAATATTTGCACAAAGTTACACAAGCTGTATTGAACTGATAGACTAGAGGGAAGGAAACTAGTCAACAACACCCACCGCCAACTCTTTGGCTACACTAGAACAAAAAAGCATCTATTGCCCGTAAGTGCGAGTCACGTGTTGTTGTTTTTTTTTTTCGAACAGGGCTTTTTCACTATCAATCTGAAAAGAAATATGCAAATTTTTACAAAATATCTTAAAATTTCAGAGGCTCAGTCGCAAGTTTGAAAACTTATAACGCTAAAAACTGGGTTTCCAAACATGTGGTTGGCACAGCTCAGATAGCCCATTGTATAGCTTTGTGCTTAACAACAAATAAACAAACATTTAAACTTTTCAGTTACTTACAGTGTGTGGAAAGGTACTTACATAAAGTTTGGTCAGTTCTTGACCTTTATGATACTGAAATTAGTATAACAACCCTCAGTAAATAACGGTCAACATGATTGCTTCATAAAGATTAAACTGTCTAATCTGAGACATAACGCTCTCTATGATTGCTTCAGAATGATTAAATTATCCAATCAAAAATTACGTTTCAAACGTGTAACTAGTACTAAACGTACTTTCGGAGGGTCCTCGAAAGTGTTCAATTTCAACAGTATATTAAACCAAAATTAAGAGAAACAGATATTTTTATTTATTTCTTATGAACTACATATTTAATGTTGTGTTGTAGCCTACAGAGAGTGCATAATTCTTCTCGTGATTCATGGCATGCGCACGTTTTACTGACGTCACGATAATACAAACTGCAACGTTAAGTGTCCATTATAAGACGTCATTTTCGTGTCTACTAACTGACTGACAGACAACCCACTACTTTATAGTGGTGCGAGGGGTTAAAACAGGTGACCCCTCCAGGCGGCCTTCGGCCCACATTCGGGGAAATAGCAATCCTTAGTATATAAGGTTCGCTATGATTGCTTCAGAATGATTAAACTGTCCAATCAAAAACAACGTTTCAAACGTGAAACTAGCATAACAATCCTTGGCATATTTGGTTGCTATTATTTTATTTTTATATATAGAGGCGCCCTTAAAGGAGGTTGAAGAAAAGAGTGTATTTTATTCCGAAGACAGAAGTTAGTGCAATTTAATTCATAAAGAAACTCATTCTTGATTAAATGATTTGTTTGTTATGGATTCCGCGCAAAGCTACACGAGGGCTATCTGCACTAGCCGTCCCTAATTT